AAAGCAAAAATAAAAACGGTTTTCTCTTTCGTTTCTCTCTGTACACCTCTATAAAAACACCCCGGACGAAAGCGCAGCGGGGTGTGACGGCGGCTGTCCTTGGCTTGTCCCGCAGGCTGTTCGCGGTGAAGTGCGCGGGCTGCCTGGAGCCCATCGCGCCCAGCGAGCTGGTGATGCGCGCCCAGAAGAGCGTCTACCACCTGCACTGCTTCTGCTGCTGCGTCTGCGAGCGGCGCCTGCAGAAGGGCGACGAGTTCGTGCTGAAGGAAGGGCAGCTCCTCTGTAAGGGCGACTACGAGAAGGAGCGGGAGCTGCTGAGCTTGGTGAGCCCGGCTCTGTCGGATTCTGGTAAGGGGCCGCCCGCGCCCGGCGTCTCCCTGGCTGGTCCCGCTCCGAGGCCCCTCAGGGGTCTGGAGGTGAGGTTTGGGCTCGCCGCCCTGACCTTCTGCCCTTTGGTCTGAGGGAATAAGCTCTGGAAGATCTTCCTGCCACCTCGGTGCTGAGGGTTGAGCAGGGAGCTCGGCGGTGGGGGGCTGCAGGGCTGCAGGATGCTCTGAGGAACATCCCACCTCATAAGGCTCATTTCTCTAGGGGTTTGTGCTCCTGGCCCGGGCAGAGCACCAGCACGCCACCCAAGGGTGTGCAGCTTCCCCAGATGTGGCCACTGACTACCTTGAGCTAAACCTTTGTCCCTCCCCTGTGCCTCAGTATCCCTGCCTGGGGCCCTGGAAAGGCTGAGAACAAGAAGTGAGGTGCTTCTGCTGTAGTCACCCCTTTTAATAACAAGAGGAAACTGAGGCACAGAGCTCAAACATGAGCTGGCAGCAGGGAGTCTGCAAACCTTGTGTCCCCAACAGCTTCCAAGGCAGCAAATGGCCAGAACCAGCCTGCTGACCCATCATGGGGACACTGTGGGGACACCACAGAGCCGAGCGGGGCTGCAGGAGAGGTGGCACTGTGGCTGGAAGCAGGCAGGGGGCCAGCATCCTGCTCCAGCCAGGGTGTCACCACCGGGTTAGGTTGCTCAGAGCATCAGACCAACATTAAAATATCTATCTGCAGTCAGTGCAAATTAAACCCGAATGTTTCCCAGGAAGACAAATTTAGTAAGAAAGCCCAGCGCTGGGGACTGGGAGGGTGGAAATGATCTGATGATCTGGTAGCTGAAATCCTCAGGATAACACCATCCCCACAGAGCCCTGCTCCTCACCAGTCTCTCAGTTCCCCTTAAAATCCCTCACTGGGGAAAAGTCTGCTTTGTGGAGGGAAAGGATTTACCTTTGAAATTCTCTGCTCTGAAAAAGACTGCCAGCAGCTGCAGGGGGGGCCAAGTGGGGCTGTCTTTTCCCTGCTGGAGCAAAGCATTGGATTTAAAAAAAGTAGGAATCAAGATTAGGAGTGTGTTGTTAAAGTGTGAAGCATGGACATGACAAAGCCTGGTGCTCTCTGTCACTGGAGTGCTGTAACTGGGAGAAGATTTGTGAAGGGATGGAGATGGTTTTCATAGTTATGGAGCAAAAAATTGCCCAAAGCCTGTATTTCTCTTTAATATTGAGCTCCTCTGCAGCAAAAGCCTGTCTGTCTTTGGCAGCACTGCCTGTGTAGGTTCTGTGTGAGCTCTGCAACCCTGCTTTGCTCAGGACAAAAAAGTCCTCCTTGCAACTGACAGTGGTGATGTTTAAAAATCAGAGTGAGTCCATGGGAGGAGGTGGCTGGGGGGAGCTGGTGAGTGATGGTCCAGCACTGGAGGAGCTGGAGAAGCAGGAGTGCAGGAGGATCCAGCCCACTGGCACTGGCTCTTCCCTTAGCCCTGGGAAAGTCCTTAACTGATTGAAGAATTACTGTTTTTTCCTCTGGGATACACAAACCCTTTTCGGTTAAAATAGAAACCAATGAAGAGATGTCACGCAGAAGAGAAAGCAAATCCCCCACAATGGTTTGGGTTTGTTCCTAGTGGGGGAAAAGGGCATTTGGGGAAAGGTTGGGGAGCTTTTCCTCCCCAGCGACTCATCAGCCTGTGGTCCAGCCCCACTGCCAGCAGCTCCGGCCAAACCAAGAGCCTCAGCTTAGCAAAAACCTCCAGGGGAAAAACTTATTTTGGTGGAAACTCCAGCTGAGACCTGAGGGATGTGAAGGGCCAGTGTGGGAGTCAAAAGGGCAAGGCAACCCATTGGCTGATCAGAAACCTAACCCAAAGCCCCTGACATGGCCTGGCAGCCTCTGACTGGGGGGTCCTGGCCCTTGCCATCTCCCCACAGTCCCCATAGCTTGTCCCCACCACCATCCCTGTCTGCTTTTGGTGGCTACCAGCTTCGTCTGGGGACAATGGCACAGCAGGGACCAGCCCAGGTACGCATCCCCTGGGGATGCTCAGTGTGTGGTGGCTTCTCCTCCCCCCAGGCCCAGTGCTGTGCCAGGAGATGCAGAGTGGTGTCCCCTCTCCAGCACCACTCCCCTGTGGATGCCCTTCACCAGCAGCATGTGATGAGCTCCTCCAGCCTCTTCCCTGTCCCCCCATGGCTGCTTTGAAGCCCCCCAGCCTCCCTCCCTCCCTCCCTCCCTCCCCCCAGCCGCCGCACACCAAGGGCCACTTTATGAGAAAGCGCAGATAAAAAGCGAGCCATATGTTGTCTGTAATCTCCCAAACCCTCGCTTCAATTACTGCCTCCCCCAAGCCTCCGCCGCCCAGCCTGAGTAAACAAGCCCCTCTGAAAGAGGACCCTGCTTTCCAATTAAAAACGTCCTAACGTTCCTCCTCTCCCTAAATCCTCCTGAGCGAGGAATGTCCTGGCCCCGGCAGCGGGATGCGGGCTCGGCAGGTCGGAGCGAGGGCACGGCGCACAATATCCATGGAATATCCATCGCCCCGGCCTCTTCCAGGTGACGTCAGGGGCAGCCCCAGACACTCATTAATTTCTCCCCCCTCCTCAGTGGGGAAAGGCTTGAAAGGGAGAGTTAATTAAAAGTAATACCCCGCCAAATCCGGCTTCACTTTTCCTTCTTTCCCTTTGACACTGGGAAGGATTTGGGGAGCAGGTGTTGGCAGGGGGATGGGCTTGGAGAGGCTGCTCCAGGCGGGTTTTCCCCCTTGGAGTGGGTTTTGAGCATCATGGACCTGATGGAGCCCATGAGCCTGTGGCCATGCCCTGCTGGGCTCTGCCCCTCCTGGACTGGAGGGGAGTGGGGTGCTGACCTCGTGCTGGGGTGCAGACAGGTCCAGGCACCACTTGACATTCCTTCTCCCTCGATATGTAAAAATCTCTGCATTTCCATCAAAACGAAACGCCTTCAGCATTCAGGAGAGCCAGCAACTTGGCAGAGCAGGGGCCTGGCACTGGGAAGGAGGCAGCAGCAGCAGCAGCAGCCACTGCTCAGCCCCATCAGAGGCTCCACAGCTTGGGCCTCCCCTCACTGGGGTGTAAGAACCCCAGCGTGGCATCCCTCGGGGTGGGACATGCAAGGAAACATCAGTTTGTCCTTCCTGTTGGTGTGGGAATGTCATGGGTGTGCCACAAGTAAGAAGGGAGCTGGAGCAGCAGCAAGGCTCTGGTTCCCAGGGGCCAGACCCAGCTCCCAGCTGTTTGGGGACTGCCAGCATGAAGAGCTCTCCCTGCCCACTATCAGGGAAGGTCTCTGCATTGGCTGGAACCCAGGAGAGAGCCCACTGGTGTGGAGAGGAGAGGTAACTGGTGCCTGAGAGCATTCTTGCTGCTCCTCTGGGATCTTTGCCCCTCTTCGCCCTGGAGATCTGCTCGTGTCTTTCCTCATTCCCAGCTGGGCTGCCGTTGGATTGAAACTTCCCTGGTGTGTGTGATCCATGATTAGCTCTTGCCATGGGGTTTGACCTGGCCCGTTTTCCCCATGAATTACCCTGAGGCAGGCTCACACTCCCTGGTACATCCCCGTGTTCCAGAGCCGTGGCAGCCCTGGGATGGATGTGGGCCAAGCACAGCCTTGCAGAGCCCGAGTCTGTATCCAACCAGCTCCATTATCCATTCCCAGATGAACAGAGAAGGAGCTTTCTGGAAAAGGCTGTAAGTGATTTATAGCTAGCCAGAGGGAAGATGCTGTCAAACCTGCATCACAGCCCTTCCCACACAGGCTGAGCAAGCAAGGTCATCAGCAGGGGAGGTGCAGTAAATGAGGAGAGCTGGGAAGAGGCACTGTCCACTTTCCCGGAGCAGTTCCTGCCCAAAGGCTCCGTGCCCTGAGTGGTGGAGAGAGCAGAGAGATACATCCCAGTGCCTGGGAATGCAGTGGGGCAGCACATCACAGTGAGTAGCTGAGGGGTGAAGGCTGAAAGACCCTGGGTTTCTGTCCAGGGAGATTTAAAACTCCACAGAAAGAAGGAAATACCGGGCAGAAATGTGCCCCTTGCATGTATGAATAAAAGTTTGTGCTCTGAAGGGAGTTGTCCTCCATGGTAGGGCAGAGCAGGAGGTGTTTGTGAGAGATTCCTGGCTAACACATGGCCCTCTCTGAGCATCCCTGCTCACCCATCACCCTGACCCCCCCCAGCCTGGCCTGCCTGTGCAGAGGGACCCCATCTCTGTGTCCACCTGGGCTGGGGATCAGCCCCAGGGGCACAGCGGTCCTCCCTCACCTGGATGTGAGCTGTGTGTCTCTGTCCAGATACGTCCCCAGCTGTGGCCTGGCTGGACATTCCTGTGAAGCAGGCAGAGATCTGGCTCTGGTGGAGGGAAAATCAGCTGTCCCAGGGTTTCACACTGCAGCTGCTCAGACTGTTGGGGAAAAGAAGAACCCAAAGCACATCTGCTGGCTGAGCAGTCACACCCTTCAAGTGGCAGTAGCTCTCCCCCACTCTCTGAGCTGCCATGGGGCAGCCAGTCCCAAACCTCAGCTTCTCACACATACTCAGAACAAGATCCCCTCCAACACCAGCTTGTTTTAAATCTCTCAGATCATTTTGACCATGCTGGAGATGGTGTGTGCTGCCTGCTTCCTGTAAAGGACCTGCTCTTTTTTCCTCCTTAGGCAAAAGTGATGATGAGGACAGCATCTGCAAGCTGGGCCAGGCCTCGGGGAAGGGCGCTGAGGACGGGAAGGATCACAAACGGCCCAAGAGGCCACGGACCATCCTGACCACGCAGCAGCGGAGGGCATTCAAGGCGTCCTTTGAGGTCTCCTCCAAGCCCTGCAGGAAGGTATGGGCAGAAGGGCCCATGCCCAGCACCTGGGGATGTCCTGGGTGCTGAGCACGGCCTTGCCCTGGCTGATCTGACCCTTCCTAAACTGCCCCTGAAAAGCTGAGTGGGCTGAGAGCCGCCACTGTCCCTCTTCTGTCCCAGGTGCGGGAGACGCTGGCGGCAGAGACGGGGCTGAGCGTCCGCGTGGTGCAGGTCTGGTTCCAGAACCAGCGAGCAAAGGTGGGTACCAGGGGTGCCAGCACCCATGGCTGGGGCTCCCTCCCTCCTGGCTTTGGCCAGGGGATGATTTCATCCTGTTCTTCTCCCTTTCCTCTCTCGCAGATGAAGAAGCTGGCCAGGAGGCAGCAGCAGCAGCAGCAGGACCAGCAGAACACGCAGCGCCTGAGCTCAGGTACCCCCTGCACAATTTGGGTTTCCCCATCTCCCAGCCCTCTCCGGCCTTCGCAGCGGAGCTCAGCCACCCGAAAAAGCAGCAGCCCGGCTGATGCCTTGATCTTATCTTGATCTTGTCTTGCAGCCCAGACAAACAGCAGCGGCGGCACGGGGCTGGAGGGGATGCTGAACCCCTACACCACCCTGCCCCCGCCCCAGCAGCTGCTGGGCATGGAGCAGGGTGTCTACGGCTCCGACCCTTTCCGGCAAGGGCTCACCCCGCCCCAGATGCCCGGAGACCACATGCACCCCTACGGTAGGGCTCTGGGGATGCTCTGTTTTCCTTCAGAGACATGCTGGGTTGTGGTGGGGTCCACTCACCCTGAAATACCTTGTGCTACTGATGCCTTTTAGGGCTTACAAAAAAAAAAAAAAAAAAAAAAAAAAAAGGTCAGGCAAAGTTAAAAGAATGAAAGTGGATATTTACTAAAGGGCCTTCAGGTACATTAAGGGCAGGCAGAAGCCTCCCCAAGGGGCTACACCAAAGATGGACGATGTTCACGAGTTTTTCAGACAATTATAAGTTTGGTCCATTTACATATCAGGGGTTAATCCTCCAATTTCACCTTCAGGTAATGAAGTCATATTCCCCCAGTTTGCTCCCCCCCATTTCACTTTTTGTTGATACTTTTCAGGGTCTGAGGCTGTAGGGTGTCCTTGAGTTTCAGGTCCAGAGGGATTATTTTGTGTGACCAGAATGTGGAGACAGTAGCTAACACTCTGTATGGAGTTTAAGAGTTATACCCTAAAGCAGTACAGGATCTGAAAAACACAAAGCTAAAATCCTGAGACATGACTATGAGAGCTAGGGGTACCAGGCACTGTGGAGGTGCTGGAGCAGGCTCTGAACCCCTCCTGTCCCTTCCTTGCTTCCCAAGGTGCCGAGCCCCTCTTCCACGACCTGGACAGCGACGATACCTCACTGAGCAACCTGGGGGACTGCTTCCTCGGCACAGCAGATGCAGGGCCACTCCAGGCACGAGTGGGAAACCCCATCGACCACCTGTACTCCATGCAGAACTCCTACTTCACCTCCTGAGCCCAGCGTGGTCCCCCCAGGAGAGGCTGCAGAGCTCCCGGGGTTGGGGGGGAAGGGGAGCAGCTCTGCTGGGATGCTGTCAAATAATGTTGTAGCTTGGGATTCCCAAGGAGTGAGTTAAGTTATGGGTTGCATAGTTTCATGTTTCTCTTAGGAGCCTAGGATTAGGGACAGGAGTGGTTTTTGCAGCTGGCTGATGGATTTTCAAATTTCAAACGGGGACACGAATTTCCCGTTTCACCAGGGGGAGGGGGATTCTCCTGTAGGAGCATCCCAGCGCTGTATCCCACCTTTAGAAAGAGCAAACTGCTGATCTTCATGGGGAAAGCCTGCAGCATCAGCTGGGCTTTGAAATCTGAAAAGCTGACAACGCTCTGCGGAAACACGAGGGGAAATATCGCTGCAGGGTTTGGGGTTTTCCCCTCTGTTCCCTCAACCAGTTTGAGTGCCCGCTGCTTAAACGTAGGGACTTTTAAGATAGATGTTCCCATGCGAATATAGAAAGCTAGAAACCCCTAGCATTGTCCCTGTCCCCGAGGACAGGGGCTGTGTGTGTGGATGTGTGTGTGTGTGGGCACGCACGTGTGTGCGTGCAGAGCCGTGTGGCTGGGAGTGTTGCGCTGCACGGCCACACCTGCCAGATTGTATCAACAAAAAAAGTTTATTTCTAAGTCTATCAGAAATTTACTGTACAGCAAAAGTAACTTTATTTTCAGTGTGAACCATATTTAAGGAAATACTCAATGCACTTAAGTTATAAGAGGAAATAATTTTACTTTTTATAAACGTTATGTTTAGGTTGCAAAAGCCCAGTGGCAGGGAAGGAACATCAGTTCTTTTCAAGCAACAGGTTTGGGTTTTGGGGTTGGTTATTTTTGGTGTTCTCAGGTTGCCCCACTGGTTTCGAGGTGCAATTGAAACACAGAGCAGAGCTGGTTCAGAAACCTGCTTTTTGCCAGCAGATTGATGGGGGCAGCGTGGTGGCCAGGTCCTGTCCCCACTGCTGGACGTGTCCAGGAGGTCAGTGTGGGGCAGGCGTGCTGGAGCTGGTGGACATCCCAGCCCATTTGGGTTCAGCCACGCTTCTCCACATCACCTTTTCCTTCCCCAGCAGGTCCCAGGCTGCCTCCACCAGCGACCCCATCCCATATCCTCCAGTCTGGGTGCTAGGCCGCTGTGAGCTGCTGTCCTGGCACTGGGAAACGCTGCAGCCCAATTCCCCACCCCTCAGGGGAAGCAGAAAGGAGGGACAGCCCTGCCTTTCCCACCCCGTGCTCGGCTTCATCCCTGCCAGACCTGTGGGAACCTGGGGGAAGTTCTCCTTGGGGTCGAGCCTTCGGGTGGCCCTCACCTCATCCCCACTCTCGTTTTCATGCGTTGTGTCCTTTTTGTGCTGCTGTTCACAAACGATGTAAGCGACAACCCGAAAAGACGTGCAAGTGACTGTGAGGCTGAAAACACTGGCTCGTCGCCGCCGTCCGGTCTGACACTGAATGAATGTAGCAGGGTCTGGAGATGGCTGACCCGGCGGGAAACGCTGACAGCACTGTCAGAAATCACGCACCGAGGTGAAATTAAAAAGACAAAAAAAAAAAAAAATTCTCTGTTAAAAGAAAAAAAAAAAAAAACAAACTAAAACAGCCTGGTGTTTTCTTGCATGATTGTGTTCTCTTGACTGGGAGAGGGAAGGGTTTGAGGAGTCTCCAAAAGAAGCAAGGTCTTGGGTAGGGTGTAGTGAGAAGTTTTGGGGTTTTGATATCAAAGATTCACAGAATCATAGACCCCATCACGGTGTGGGTTGGAAAGGACTTTAAAGACCATCCAGTTCCAGCCCTCTGCCATGGGCAGGGACACCTTACACCACCCCAGGTTGCTCCAAGCCCCACCCAACCTGGCCTTGAACACTTCCAGAAGTGGCATCCGCAGCTTCTCTGGGCAACCTGTGCCAGGGCCTCATCGTATTCTGTGTTCTGGGACTAAGCTGGCCCTTGGAGTGTCCTGAGTGGCCGACAGACAGAGATTGCTGGGTGTGGAAGGTGAGACAGCTGTCTCTGGCTCCCACCCAAGGTGGCAGAGAGGACTCCAACCTCTCATCTGAAGTAGCACTTCATGAACCCCAGCCCTCCACGTTAGGACCACGAGCAGCTCCGTGTTAGGACTGCCTTAAAGGTATGGGTGGGTGTTTCCAAAAGGGAATTGCTCTTACCACAGCTCCCAGACACAGGGAGGTTCCACAAATATGCCACCAAATGGGAATCCCCAGCTCATTTTCTGAGTTGTTCAAAACAACGTGTGCCCCTTCCTGCCCATCATCAGTTCCTGCTCCACAGCTCCTGTTCTAAAATGGCATGACTGTAAGAAGAAAACTTGCCATTTTCATTTCCCAAGTTGTGAAATAAAGAGCCCAAGAACAGCCTGGGTGCCTGGGTTGGTTTGGGGTTTTGCTCTGTCTCAAGGGAGCAGCAGGGAAAAGGGCTGAACTTGTCTTGTGGTGGACAGGTTGGGGAAATTAGAGCTTGAGGTTTCTCTGACATCAAGCTTGGTGGTCTTGGAGAAATACTTGGCTGGTACAATGTGGAGAAGAGGGCAGATCTAGATTACAGGGGGTGTGGAGGAGCTGCTGTGGCCCATGAAACCAGCATGATTTGTAGGATCAGCTCTAGGCAATGGCTGGGTTAACACCACCCAAGCTTGCAATGTAAAAATAGGTTTCCCTTAATGGCTATTAAAACTGCCTCCAAAATTCCTCTCACTGGGATACTTCTTAAAATGTCATGTTTAAATCTGTGGGGGTTTATTAATGTTTTAAAGATAAAACGTTTGTCTTCCTCACCTACAGCTATTTCCTGTTTGAAAAATGCTCAGGTGCATCAATCTGGTTTTTCATCAGCCCAGCTGCCAATTTACACTTGCTAAATTGCTTCCCCCCAAAAAAAAAAACCAAAAAACCACAGATCGTACAGACTGGTTGCGCACTTTCCCACTTTTAAAATCTTGCAAAAATGTAATTATGTAATTATACCCTATAATAACAGTCTCTTGATACAAATATTGGTATATGTATAAAATTGTTATATAGAGCATGTAATTTTGGGAAAGGATCAGAATTATGGATGAGGGCAGACTTTTATCAAGCAAAATCAGGAGAATTCATGGTTTTAAACCTGTTCTTCTGCCACTTGGCCCAGTGCTTGACACAGGCCGAACATGAGCCCAGTTTGCAATCTTGCCATGGAGTAGCAGATGTGGGTCCTCCTGTCATCTGGATTTCATATCCTCCTGCTCCTTATTTCAGGGTGCGGATGGATCCTGCCAAAGCAAAACTGGCTGGGCCTTATCTTCTGCAGGTGCTGGAGTCACTGCATGGCAGGTGACAGGCTGGGTGGGTTGTCAGGTGTCCCTTGGTTTGTCCCACTGGGATGTCCTTTTGTGGGGCTGCTTTGCCCCATGTCCGAGCCCAACCTCAGCTGGGGAGTGGCTCCCTAGGACAGATGATACCTTCTTGTCAAAGGCAGGAAGAAAAGAGCGAGGTCTGAGGTGAAAACAGGTTCTACCTCGCTCTCCAAGGCAAGGGCAATGCCAGGAGCGGGTTGGGAGCTGACCTTTGTGTCTCTAGTGACTCCAAACAAAGCTGCTTCTGTTCAGGCACTGCTCGGTGGCCAAGGAGAGATCAAGTCAGAGATTACTTGTCAGTTGAGGACACTGATTAGATGATACTGATAGGCAGCCAGCTCTGAGTGATATTACGTTAATTAACTTGCTCTTTGTGAATGGACGGCAGATGCAGCCTGGAATGAAAATCAAAATGGCATTGGCCAGTGCTGGCTGGGTTTGCAGGTGGGTATTTGAGTCTTGGTGGTGTTTTTAGATGTTTGTTGGAGACTTGTAGTGCACAGACATAGGAGCTGGAGCAAGCAACCTTCCTGGAAGGATGTGACCTTGCTGTCTAGGAAAACCAGCTCCAGTGAAGGGCTGGAGCCTTGCCTTGCTCTGAGTGGCCTGGCTCAGCATGTAACTGCAGTCAGCAGAGCTGTGCTGGCTCCTGCAAGCTGGGTGAGGGCAGGAGGAGCCCCCAAACCCAGCAAAGATCCTGGTGCAGTGGGGACACACCAGGTGGGAAGCCCAGGTCACGGTCACCTCCGCAGCCTCTTGCTGCCCTGGGTGTTTGAGGGCTGATTTCTGCTGTGATGCATCCATGCCCCAGGAGAGAAGAACCTGCAGGAGAGTTTTTCATGTGCCCACACTCATTGGTCATCTCTCTGCATATAGGAGGTGGAGAGGGCCCAAATCCCAAGGAAACCATAGGCAGGGTCCTTTCCTGGCTTCCTGGAACTGGATGTGAGAGGTGACAAATTCTGGGTTTTTTTTTGGTGTTTTGTTTTGTTTTGTGTTTTTGTTTGTTTGTTTGTTTGGGGGTTTTTTTGTTTGTTTTTGTTTGTTTTGGTTGGTTGGTTGGTTGGTTGGTTGGTTGGTTGGTTTTTGGGGTTTTTTTGTGGGAAAATGCCAAAGATTTGGTTGTTCCTGTCAACTTTCCAGAGTGAAATAGTTTGCCAGATGTTTGGTACCTACACTGACACTCTTTTGGGTGGTAGATGTCACCCATCATTAGAAAACACTTGTCTTGTGACACATGATAGGGCTCAAATCACTGAGGACCAGAGCCTTGGCTTTATGGTAGGTCTCTGAGCAAGATCCCAGGTAACCCCAGCTGTCCAAAGCTGTTACTTGCGTTTACTACATATTTTCTTCCACTGCTGGTCATCTGCATGGAAAATTTATTTGAAAAAAAGAGCAAAAAACCTCTTTATAAAATAAGACTTGTGATGGAAAGGCAAGAAAAGAGTTAGAAGCTCCTCAGGTGTAAAAAGGTGAATAACAGCTTCTTATCTTGTTGGAGATCAGACCAAATTCTTGTCTCCATTCCTCTAAGTGGCAACTGTGTTGGCCATGAAAAGGTTATCTTGTTAGCTGTAGACCTCCTAGACACCGCCGTGGAGGCT